GGCCGCTCCTTGTTTTCTTCAGATTTTTGACCAGAAACCGAAAGGAATCGGAGGGTTGATATTCTTGGCGCCCGAAAATCAACCCTATCTCATCAGATTCACCTTGCCGAAAAAACAGGTGAGAGGTCACCAGGCGTCCCTGGCCCTCTAATCTCCCTGAGGCGTCCCCCAGGGTTGCAGCCTGCGGTGCTCCGAGTACATCTACTGACCGTGGTCTCAAACCCTTTACGGGATCGAGACAGCTGCCAGACGGAGGGTACCCCCTTCAGAATTCCGACCGGTCGCACTGAAAGACAGAAAATGAAACACAGACAACCCAAGGCGCCACCAACCTTACCTCTTCCTCCAAGAGCGACTCCCGGAGTGAAGCGGGGTGAACGTTCGATCCCGGACGAGCCCCCAAGAAATGTTGGATCTCTCCAAAGGAGGACGCCACCCCAATTCACTCACGGAAGGCGTCTCTTTATGCAACAAGCAAGAGGACTTTATTCAGGAACCAGCTAGCTGGGGTCCAAGTGTCAGCCCGACGCAGCGGGTTTCAACAAGGACCCCGAGCACTCAAAGCCAGGGGTTTATATAGCATTTTCAAAGAGACAGTATTTTTCCACAAGCAGATAACAGTGTTTTTCCACAAGCACATAACTTTTCGGCTGGCGCCACATCTTCATCCTGGGGGTTTAGCAAGAGCAAGATAAGATCACTCTTCGAATGTTAGGGTGGTTCAGCAAGATAAGCTTGGTATGTATGATTAACTGACTGAGGCTAGCTGACTAAAGGTCACTGCTGCTGGTGTTCATGATTAATTAACTTGTTTTTCTAGGCCTTACCTAGTTCCAGTTTTTCTTTTCAAAGGACGTCAGAAAATGGCTTGTAGGCCCTTAAGATGGCTACTTTCATGCCAACTTATTTCTACTCTTACTTAATGCTTAGATTCTACAAGAACCTACCACTGATTTGGTAACAAAAGGGGATTTCTGTGAAGGGAATAGTTAACAAAAGGAAGAAACGTATTCCCAGGTGTTCCAGACATGTCAACTGGTGGTGCCTTTTATACACATCACTTCTTGAAAGAAACTGCCCACTCCGTATCTCCTGCTCATGGAAGGGTCCAGGGGCCTCCTTAACTGTTCTTTGAGCTGGCAGGCTGTGTTCTCTACCACATGCCCCCTCTCCTCCAGCTCTAGCTGATTAGCCCGAAAGCAGCCAACGTACAAACCAGTTGGAAGGTAAGTATAGATATCTGTATAGCAGAAAACCTGTATTAAGGTGGCTTACACAAGAACAGTTTATATCTCACCTTAAAGCTGAAGATCTATTCCACCAAGTTGTTGGGCTCAGTTCCTTCTACTTTGGCATTCTTCGGAGTTAACCTTGTCCACACGGCCCACAATGACTTGTCTGTGTTCCAACCAGCAGCGAGGGGCTTGCCTCTTCACTTTAGCAATCGGTTCGCTCTCATCTGCCTTGCAAGAGGTAGGGATAATGAGAAATGTAATCTTTATTCTAGGAAGCCTTACGCCCAGCTACAACTTGGGGACTAAGAGAAAGGACAAACGGACACTGTGGCTTGCCCCCAAACGGTGACAGTGAGGCTAATTTGATTTTCTTCCTTGTGAACTGTATAATTTGGCTACTGTATTGTGGGAATATAAGTGAGCACATGCACCGACTCAAAGATACCCCCAACATGCAGCCGGCAGCTCCATAAGCACCTGGGAGTCTGGAAATATCCTTGCTGTCTGAGGTACCAGTTACTACTACTTCAGGACTTGTTTCTGGGTTGATTTATGGCACTGAAATTCCACCTTATTCCAAGGTGCAGCCCAGAAATAAACGTCCCTTATTATTTTGAAGTAATCTTTGACCCCGCCACAACGGGCGTAGTAAAGTTGAGGAACAGGAGAGGAAACGAGGCTGACGCCTCCCTCCGAGTGGGGCACAGCCGCTGAGGAGGGATCGGCGTAGCGGCGGGACGCAGTCACCCGCCGGTTAAGGATGCACGGTAAATGTGCTTTTCCGAGCGGGGTTTGAAGCGGCCCAGTACATATTCCGAGTAAAAATCGGCACCTGGAAAGGGGTGACCTGCAACTGTCCAGAAAGGGTGCTTTGCGAGAGGCCGAACGCTCGAGCTCCGACGCGCCCAGGATCCCCGCGCCGACATGGGAAACGCGCCCCCACTTGAAAAGCCGCTGGCCAGCGTCCCGCGGGGTGCTCTGGGAAGCGGCGTCGGTGACGCGAACCCCGCCCCGCGGAGGATTCTGGGAGTTGTAGTTCGTCCCACCCGGCTCCCCAGATGCCTTTGTTGCCAGGCCGGGCTTACCTTGGGTTGGTTGTGAAGTGGACCCCGGGGTCGAGGAGGGCTGAGCGCGCGGGGTTCTAAGTCCGAGTGGCCGGAAGGAGGGCGGCGGTAGGGATCAGTGAGGGGCTCCCAGCTGCACGGCGGCGGTCGCTCGCGTGTCCTGGGCCGCTGGGTGGACGAGACGCTGGACCCCCGGGCCGTTGTACATTCTCCCCACCCGCCTCCCGGGGCCCTAGTTCTCTGCGCTGGCCGGGGGGCAGAGGTGAGAATATGGGTGGGATGCGCCGCGGTGCCTGCTGGGGAGAAAAAAAGAGAAAGGCTGCCCTCTGGCTGGGCAGGTTCAGAAGAAGCATCCTGTCTCTGTGTGAGAGCGTTTTCTCTTAGCTAGTCTCACCTTGGGGTTTTGAGCAAAAGCCCACCACCTGCGTTGCGCTGAGGGTCATTAGGATAATGTATGCTTCCTTTGCCCCCCAAATCAACAGGTCTGACAGTTTGGCTTTTGATGACTTCCTTTTGTCCTCACAGGAGCCCCCAAAGATGGTAGGAAGGAGACTGTTATAACCACTTGACAAATTAGAGAAAGTGAAGATTTGAGAAGTTACAGGATTTATTTTAAATCCTGGATTTTTTTTTTTCCCACAAGACCTATCGCTTTTCTGAGAAAGCCACTATTGTATCTGAAAAGCCAAGGTTCAAAAAGATTTTGACTAATGTTCCTTCACTTATGAGGCTGGAATAGACTCATTAAGTGAGGTATGGATTGACTCACAGGGACTTTGAGTATTGTTTTGACTATCACTCAACGGATGGGAAATAGAAATATGTGTTTATGTGTCCAGATCCTCAAAGCAGGGTTCCACTGCAGTTTTAAGGACAGATGAGGGTAGGAGGAGCCTGAGGCAGCAATGGTCATGGCTGTCTTGATTCAGGGATGTTGAGGGATTGTTCTTTGGTTCCCTCTGTCTATTCCTCTCAGGTGACAGGTAGCTGTGTATGGCAGTTTCTTCCAGTTTACTACAAGACGACTGTAACCGTCATGGCTCCTATTTCCATTTCTAGGGTCACTTTCTGAGGACTCAGACCTTCCCCACGCTGGGAACCCAAAAGAAATGGCATGACCACAGGCCTGCTGATGCCTGCATTCCAGGTGGGTTTAGATTTCTTTTTTTTTTCTTCCTGTTTTCGGAACATGGATATGATTTCTTCCACTGTCATGGAATTGCTCAGCCCTGATCTTAGACCAGTGGGTCCATCCTGATAAAATGATGAGCAATGAACCTGACAGTAACTCCTCCCCCCTTGTGCAGAACTTTCCTTTGGCATTACTTCTCTGTCCTCTTGCTGCCTGATGCATACTTACTAGCTTTTCAGGGAAGTAATTGGCCTCATGGTGAGATTCAAAGTAATAAAAGCCAGTTGCCCCTGACTTGTGAAGTTTACTGAGGAGAGAAGATACAGATAAGTAAGATAATTAAACAGCAAGAAGAAACATTTTTTTAATGTAGAAATGACTGTATGGACAAATCATAAAAGGCATTGGAAGAGGTTTTCCATCCTCTGAAGTATTTTGGGGAAAAATACTGGGAAAATAGTTGCACTTTGAAAAAGAAAAAAGACTGAATAGTTGGAGAATAAAATAGTGGAATAGTCTGCGAGAGAACATCTTTAGCAAAAAAGTCTCCAAGTGATGAGAGAGTTGAGGGTCTGCAAGGGACATGTGTCACTGTGCGGTGGGCTGGAGTATGATGAGGTAAGCTTAGGTATGTTGTAGACCACAGGAAAATTGGCACTGGGTCTTAATTCCAGAGGTAGATAAGTCCCCATGAAAGTTTTTAGAGGTCATGCAAGATGCAACCTGCCTCTCTCACTGACTGGAGAGAGAAAAGCAGGATGCTTCTGTAGGATCTGGCCTGGGACAAAAAGAAAAGAAGGAAGGGAGGAAGGGGAGAAAGAAAGAGAATGAAAGAGAAACCTCTTCTGTTCCGCCAGAAAAAAAGCTTCCTCAAATTCTAAACTTTCTTCCAAACAGTAAATCTGTGTATAAAAAATCTGGCACTGAACAAAACAAGAAAAACAGTAGCCCNTTTTTCCTGACTCTTAATGCTCTCTGCACTCCTTTACAGTTGTTATAAATGAGAGATGCCTTTTCATAAGAGGGAATAGATTAGATTGTTAGGAATACAGGAGTCAAAGGAAAATGAAAATGAAAATAAATATGTGGGATGCATTATGAGGGGAAAGAGGGGGCACTTAGAAAGGACTGAGGGACTGGAGGGAGCACTACAAAAAATATCTAAATATTGCAAGAAGACAAGATATGAGCCTGTCCATCCCAACTATCTGAGGATAAAACTTGTGTCCTTAAAATACATTTTCATGAATTTCCTATCTATGAGAGAATTAGCACCATCTGATTCGCATGCCTTTGTGGGAATATCCACCTATATGCACAGCTTCCTCTCTCAGAGTGGCTGTTATGCACAAAGTGAGAATGAAAGAGAAAGATTACAGCTTCCTTTTCTCCACTTCTTCCCTCAAGGAGAACCTAGCAAACTGACTGGCGCAGATCCCCTGAACCACGGTTACTAGTGTGGTGGGATTGTCAGCGAGAGTTATAAGGTCATATATTCTAGATGCCTACCTCTTTAGTGCTGTTCTACCATTCAGAGAGATTAAAACACTAAGCCAGAGTTTCCTGTGTGCCCAGCCATCTTGCTTTATTGTATCCTTCATTTGATATTTCAGGTACTTCATAGTTCTTATCAATCCAGTGGTCAACCACTAATAAGATTGGGACTTAGCAGGAAACAGTAGTCTTTGGACCTTACATCTCTCATGTACCAAAGCCTTGCTTTATCACAAGGCCCTGTAATAGCATACTGTGCACTAAGTCCTCTAATTCACAAAGCAGTGTCTTAATTTGTATCTGTGGGTAAAATTGAAACATTTCCAGAATATCTCACCTGGCTGTAGTATATCTGCATATCAATAGCCATTCAGAGGTGGATAGAAGTATGGCTTTAGTGCATTTGCATCTTTCCTCGGGGGTGAAGAAGTTCATCTCCATATCAATGGGTGATTACCTGGGCAACAGAGGGCTTATCTGTACCTGAGAGGTGAGGGGGAGGGCCAGTGTGGTTGCTGCTGGAGCAGAGAAGAAAGACCGCCTGGGACTGCAGTTTGTGAGCAATAAATGGGTTTTAAACTTTATTTCTCCCTTTGACTGATTTTGGTTTTTAGAGGTATTTTGCCCCGGGATTTCCTTCCCTGTACTTACAATTGGCGTAGTTGGCAAGATACCTGTGAACCCAAGGTCTGTCATAATGGGTGTGACCTTTGGGAGGGCTGCCCCTGGAAATGATGGGGAGAAGTGGCACTCGCACCAAGGGACGTGTGTCTACACTCATGTGATTGTGGAGGCACCACCACCACTGCTGGCCATGCCGACCCCAGCCTGTGGCCCTAGCCTAAGGCTACTGCTTCTGCCAGTGCTGCTGCTCTTGTTGCCAGCCAGAGCCTGAGCACAACCATGGAAAGGAGCGGAGGTCTGGGTCACCTTGCTAGGGAAGCAACTGGCTACTATGCACCATGCCTTGCTAGCTACAGAGCCCATCACCAGAACAGCTCCAACCAAGGTAATAACCTCCTATCCCATCATGGGGTGGGTGCAAGTCTGGACCCAAAGGCCACAGAGTGGCATGGCACAGACACCTCAAAAGACAATGTGGGCCCATCGGTGTGGCTTGTCTTTCACCTTTGAAGGAATCAGCTGAGCCCGGAAGAAGTGCCCTGCATGTTGTGCAGATCAGCAAACCACCAAGAGAGGCCTAGAGCATCTGTCTGCAGCCTATGGTCAGTCACCAGTTACTGAAAGCGATCAAGGTACCCACTTTACTGGACATGTGTTGTAAGGATGGATGCAGCAATTAGGAGTAAAATGGACATGGCTCTGGACATTTCAACACATGGATCAGCGATGGCTGGCTCTTCTGGCACCTTGGGGAAAAGGCCTGGAAGCTAGCCTTCTGTGTATTCCTGTAATAACAGCAAATTGGCCCTCAACAATCATGGTTATTTGCTTCTATGGTCTTTGTGTTCTGGATGTGACCCCTGGATGCAGCTGCTGCATGACGGCTGTAATGGACGAGCTTTGGACTTAATCTGCATGGGACTTTGAACCTAGCTGAATCCTCTGGCTTGAGAATTATGATTGTGTTGCTGTTGTCAAGAAAATAATGTTTAAAGAGAGGCTTGACTTTGTCTAATGTTTGGTAAAAGTTTTGTGAGCAATCTAGCATGATTTTTAGAAATGAGTAAACTAGATTGGTCGGAAAAGGGGGATCAAGTAAATTGTAAGGTGACATTTCTGGAAGGGTGGATTGCGGGTAAAATTGAAACATTTCCAGAATACCTCGCCTGGCTTTAGTATATCTGTATACCAATAGGCATTGAGACGTGGAAAGAAGTACGGCTTTAGTGTATTTGCATCTTTCCTCAGGGGTGGAGAAGTTCATCTACATTATCAATGGGTAATTACCTGGGCAACAGAGGGCTTATCTGTACCTGAGAGGTGAGGGGGAGGGCCAGTGTGGTTGCTGCTGGAGCAGAGAGGAAATATGGCCTGGAACTGCAGTTTGTGAGCAATAAATGGGTTTTAAACTTTATTTCTCCTTTTGCCTGATTTTGGTTTTTAGAGGTATTTTGCCCCGGGATTTCCTTTCCCTGTACTTACAGTATCTGTCCTTCCTCCTTTATGACCCTTATATGAGAGAGGTTGATAGGGAAAATTTACAAGGACAGCAACCTAGCGGGTGGCTCCACTCTGTCTCACACCCCTCCCTCCTCAACATAAACAACACTAGGAGGACAGTAATTTAGGAGGTGGCTCCTCTCTGCCTTG